ATATATCAATTTCTCACCCGGCATGACTCGTATCTTATATGAGCTTAAGACTTCGTCCGCTAAGTCGTGTCCAATATTTTTTCTGATTGGTTTTGCTTTCCAGCTTTTTCTGATACCAAGGATAGGCTTGAATCGGTACCAACTTCATCTATATCAACAGACTCAACGAAAATGGCTGATGTTCGTTGTTCAAAAGGAGAAACATCCAGAAGGACATTCGTAAGCGGGATGCTTTTCACGACTTCAGGACCAGAGTCAGAATCAGACTCTCCGTAATTGGATAATGAATTTTGCTCTCGTTGAAAAGCGTCCACATTAAATGTTCTGATCTATGCACATATGGCTAAAAGGTTTATAGATGTCTCTTGAACTCCTGAATTATTAAAAGAATATGGCGGAGCTGGCAGTGGTAGTAATTGAGCAAATTTATACACAGTATACTGACCTTATTTGGTGGTGTTGAAGGCAGTTCTTCACCTCGTCTCTTTCTTGCTAATGTTTGGATGTTCTCATCTAATATATTGTCCAGCTCACTATCCAGAGCATTTTGCAGCGAGGCGTTGTTCAGTGTTTCCTGGACATATTAATATATGATATCAATTGAATAACATAGAAACATGGAAATGTTGACATCATAAATAAATAGTTAAGCTAAATGGGAATCATTTTGTCATGCAACAGAGTCTACTTACCGTATGGTCAATATCTTCCGACTGCAGCTGCCTCTGTGTATTCTTGTTGCGGCGGTAGTCTTTAAGTGCTTCAACAGTGTATGTGGCTGTCATATTTCGTCGTACTAAAACTTGCAGGTCCTCCTCGTCTTCTCTTATTCTGAGGTGATCCAAGAACTGCTTGACTTTTGGTGCATCGAAAGTTTTATCGTACTTTTCAAAAGTCTCTCCAACTTTGAGTTAACCCTTGATAGAATATTCTTTCGCCGTCTGTAGCGTCGCAACGAGCTATAAATAGCATATTTGAGGTCGCCAATATCATCAATATAAATTTTCTTTTTGGAGTCCACATGTTCTAAAATCGAAAGAATAGACCAGTCTGTATGCGTGGTATTATTGAGATAGTCTTCGATACTTGATTCAAACATCCTTAAGATTAACAAAGACTGGTGAGCATTATTATAATCCAATGATATAAACACAACTCATGAAACAAAGCATGCACAACCGACAGTATACTGGCAAACAGCATGCCGGGATCAGGCCTTGTGGACTATGCATCAAGGCGGAACCCAGGAGACTGCCTCCAGGCATCTGACGTTGGGGGTAAGATTATATACGCCATACGACAGTAGAGCCATGCGCGGTTGACAGCTGAATATCAAACACTGATGAATTCTTGAATATTTGCCTGTCTTTACTCTAGTGTTCACTCGCTCTGTAAAAGACGCGTCGGAAATGTTTACCAGTTACACATGATCAGGAATTTATTTGGCATGTAACACAGCGAAAGTTTTTCCTTTTTTCACCAAAATTGCGCAACTTGCCAGATTATTATTCCCTAGAAAGCATGTATGGCAGTTGCCTGTGTACAAATTTTGGATAACACTTAACAGAATTCGCTAATGACAGATTCTGCATTGATCAAGCCTTCCTTAACCAATTCTCAGCGTATTCTCTTCTCCCTACTCTACCGCGGTCAACTTCCGCATATAGCTCTATTCGATGAGTATCACAAATGTCTTTCAGAAGCTCTCAACATTCTAGAGGACAATGGTGCAGCGCCTATCTTGCCTGATGGTCGCGTGGGAGGAAATGCATGCGCCGTTGTACATGCGTCATTATCTCCTCCGACGGCACTATTAACAACGAAATCGGGAAAACAAGCTCGCGCTCATCTACTGAAATCAGATATTGCTTACGTAAATAAATTCGATACAAATTCGTGGCAATGTGAGTACTACAGCTCTAGCGAAAACATTAAACCAACATCAGATACTTCACTATATTGGGCATGTCTCATCCGGGCACCAGATATGTTCCAATGGTCAGAGAAACCAGGGTTTGCTATGCACGGTCATGTAGTCGGCGATGATGATATTTGTGAAAAGTTGGGAATCCCGGTCAGTGAGAAAGAGACGAGATTTTCTACTAGAGAGGACATGGATGCTATGATGAGTCTTTTGAGTAAATGGTCATATCCTCAATTTAAAGTATTTGTAAGGCGTGGACATGGTGAGTGTATCAGTAAGATGAATATCTTTAGAGCGTTATTGTCGATAACAATTTGCGTATGCTTTTATACCAGGCTTTTTTATTTTGGGGAAAGATGCCGAGGACGTGTTTGAAGTTTATGAGAACAAGGTCAAGGGAAAGCTTACAAAGGTTATTGGATCAGAGACATGATTAGCATGTCTTATCCGCGGAAACTTTATAATTTATAGTCATCACTCCAACTATATTTATTCTTTCTGACTTTAATAATCTGACTTGAATACGTATAAGATCTACTTCTACTTTCGCCCGAATTAGAGGAGCATAAGTAACATCTATCAATGCATCTGGACAAAAAGAGTAGAGAAAGATTGAACTTTGTTTTAAAAAATCAATCGCCAGTATACGAGAATTATGTTCTTATTAATAAATTTGTGTTTAGTGAGCAATTTCCAGTTGTTCCAACCAAAGCGAAAACGCAAAACCGAGAATGTATGCCTATCAAAGACGAAACCTTGGGAGGATTATTTGACGGCTACAATGACAATGAGTAATTGATTGATAATTACAAGTATACTCAATAAGCAAACAAACCAATATACGTATTCCTCAATCGTATTATAATGCCGTCTGATATCATCTTATGCACCGCGCGAATATTTCCTATCGGGCATATTGCGAGCTTTGACAAAAACTTGTACTCCTTTCCGTTCTTTGTACATGCTTTGGTTTTACTTTTTTGACCCACTCCATCATGCTGTACACGAGTCAATTCACTTTACTATAAGTTTTCTTGTAATCAGAATTCTTCTATTAAACGAAGCAATTTGCCAATGTCATTGTAAAGAATTTCTTTAGCGCATCCAGGTTTTCAACTTTTCTTTGATGACATTGCCAATGTCCATTGTGACAAATTTCTCGCGATAGACTGTTAACCGCTTGTTTAATTGCGCGTTGGATTTATCGATAAGATTTATACTTTGTCGAATAATGGCGTCAATTCCACTCTTGCGCGAGGGACTTGAAAAAGATATACTGGTTCCAGAAAATATTGTAGCCCTAGTTAAAAATTATAAAAATAGAGATTTGAGTCTCATATTCTCGTGCCTGCTTATAGCATCAAAATAAAGGGAGACGGACAAAAATGTCCCGACATTATTGCGAGATTTTGTCGAGGAAATGAACGGACCTAAAACTAAATGGGCAGCATTGAACAATTCCATGAACGACACCACTCTGCTCAGTGTTAAGTCAAACTATTTTTTTTTCAAAAATTATATATATATGAAGAATAATAAATGTAATGGATTCACCGAAAATTAAGTTTGTAAATATGGTTGTTCACAAATGGTTTGAAAAAAAAGTATGCCGAATTACGCGAGGCATTCAAGCTGTTTCTAGACCTGAGCAAGACGTATTTTTAAAAACAATGAATAATAGAGAAATACTGTCAACCAACGTCCTAAAAACAAAACGCGTACTTTTTACTATTGGAACCACAATGCCAGAAAACCATACGTTTTGTAAAATTAATGACACCCAAACACTCCAGGAATATCTAGATAAAGAAAAAATTCACTTATGAAATTTACAAAGAGGAACGAAAAATAATAAACCATAAACGAACATTAACCCCAACTTATGATAAACCAAGAAAAAAACGAAAATTAGAAGACAGGTAAGGGAAGCAGTTTAGCATTCCTTATAGTGACTTGTTGATAAAGAACTGTTTGAATGCACTTGACCGCGTTCACTGCTTTGACACAATGCAATTAAAGAAGGCAAACAACGTAAAATAACTCAATTTCTTCGTGAGCATAAATTTTATTATTCGATTATCAAATGCGCGCTCTTGAAATATAAATGTTATAGAGGCACCAGAATGATTGCGTGGGAAGAAATACTCGGACCTCAAAGTATAACGTCACTCCGGTGTAAATTAATTTCCCCATCTGAGTGATTCTTCGATCCAACGTTGGATTATCTCAATGGTCTTTTCCCGCGGAGTTGTTCTTCGAAAATAAAAATTTCGTATGGTGGAATGCACACTGCGGATGATCACTATACGTTAGCGTTAGACAAACGCGAATTTCTGCGTATTGATTATATTCTGAACAAATAAATACATTATGAACGTTCCCAAGTAATACGTCATTGTTGATATAGTCTTATCGCGCAAGCATCTCTCTATCATAACAAACGAAACAGCTATGGAGAAAGTCGAACAAGGATTGCACAAGGCGGAAGAATCGGTTGAAGGAGGCTGAAAAGGAGTTACGTGTTGCTAAGACTGAAGAGGATGCACTAAATTATTGAATATTGATATTATTCTCACCCACAAGGGAAATCTTATTAAAAGATGAGAGAATATCAACCTTGATGAATATGAAGTATGGAAGTTGTTACATGGGGTGTAGAAGTGGTTTTATGACAGAATAAGAAATTCTAAGAAGAGAGATTTGAAAGATTTGAGGTAGTGGATGATAGAATTGAGGAATTGAAAAATACACTTAATAGACTTGATATTGAGGAGTGCTTGTTTGGTGATCTTGATATTAATATTCTAGTCACAAAAACAATTCTTGGAAAGGGTTGAAACTGGATAGTAATAGTAATAGACTATTACTGGAATCTGTTCTATTCTTTACCCATTTCATAATAATACAGGTAGAATACACTCTGGAACAACTATTCAGAAGAGGTGCAGCTGCAATCCTGAAGTTTGACCAACCTGGCTGTGGCATCAACCTTCTCATCCCACCAAATAGTAACAGACATTCATAGAGCCTCATCCTTATATATTATATAGACAAGCATGTAATAGTAAAGTGCTTGGTTCAAACCACCCAAAGTAAAAGCTCAAGAAATACCTGACTGCCACAAATACACATGCTGCCACTATATTTGCTGGTATGGCCACTATCCAGTGGACAAGCAATGTCAAGATTTGAGTTTTCAGAGGAAAATGGCAGGGTGGAGATTGGTATCAAAGAGATTAAGATGAGCACAGTTTGAGAAAATATATAAGGTGTTGAAATTGTGTGGGACTGACCTGTTTCACTATTACTATGGTACAAACTGCAATGACATATCTTGAAGATGGGTGCTGATTTTGTTATAACCATGTCAGGTGTTAAATTGTGACATTCAATACCTTGGTTATGCAGCAAAATTCCAACCCCTGATTTTACATATGTGGGATTATATATGCCTTCAGAAAATGATTAACAAAAATTTTGGAAAACACACTTCCCTATTGGATTTTGTGAATTGTTTGGTGACTACCAATGCTTTTTTTAATAATAGTAAAAACTCAGTAGTAGTAAATGTAGATCTGTCATTTGTTCAGAAACTACAGTTTTAAACAATAAACATAATAATAATGCAGTAGTAAAATTTATATATAGGACTACTCATATATGAAAAATTCTACTTATTATTATAACAGTTCCATCAAATATGAAAAAGCAATGTGTTTCTTGGAGATAGGTTGTAAATGTGGTTGCTCAAAAATGATTCTGGGAGAGAAATTTGCTAAACTACATGAAATATTTCAAGCTCTCTCTAGTACTAGATCTGAACAAGATATATTTTTAATGACCCAGTTGAAAGCAATGAATGGTGGAGAAATAACTAATAAGGGACAATTTTTTTACATTACTCTTTTTTTAAAATACTTCTAATAGTGCTGTAGTTCTTGGGCTCCATAGTAATAGTGGATTTGATGTAAATTAATCTTATATTATAATTTTTTATATTATTATTATTATAGAGATAATCTTATATATTAATAATTAATCCTGTTATGGTTTATATTCATCACATTCTGGTGAGCATCAAAATTAATATTAACTTTTTAAAATATCATCAGTCACACTGGTCAATTTTACAGCCACATCATAATCAGCCCCTCAGTTTATGTCACATAATAATA